GGTCACCAAATAGATTTCCCTTCACCGAAATTACACTCATATTCTCTCCCTGCAAAAAAAAAATGTAAATATAAGCAGCTAGTGATACTGCTTTTAGTATGAGAAGCAAAATTGCAGTAAACTCCATCCCAAGTACAAATACCTGTGTTTTAACTCTGTGACATTAGTCAAGTTATAAACCTCACCTTTCTTCTTAAGACAGCAACAGTACCCTTACCATTATTCTCAAGTAGGTTACCAAAGTGCTTTGTAAACTGGGATGCTCTTTAGTTGTCATGTTTTACTATAGATTTAGCTGTTTTGCCTCAGAATGGAAGTAAGCTTTGCGGCAGCTTAAAAAAGGCTCCAGGTGGCTCTCCCCCTCTCAGGGCCCTGTGCTTGTGGGCCTCAGCTTTGCAGGCTCAAAGTAGAATTCGGTCATCGTGCCAGGAGTGTCTCTTGGGGCTAGACCTATGTCAGTCGTGGTATTAAGTGATTGGCACTAAGCCACCAGTCTACTTTAGGGGATTGTGACCCATGTATCCAGAGTCTCGCCCTTCCCAGAATCAGACACCGAAGAAGCTAAGAGTCATCAGAAAAATATTGTGGGTATGGATTCGGACCAAACAGAAGCAACCTTCCTTGAGATACTCCGTTCACCCCCCACCCCCTGCCCCGGGGTTAAGCCTTATTCAATACTTCTCTTCACAGTGGGGAGCTCTCACATAGATTAAAGTTGTTCATTTTTTTCCAGGTTGGAGTGCCTTCTGGCTGGAAGGTGCTGGTTATACACTCAGTCTAGCTCTTCCACTCACCCCGGATTTGGGCTTCTTTTGGCCACCAGCCTCTCCTGTTATCCCCCCATAGAGTTTGTGCTCCAACCTAATACTGTTTTGGCTACAGTCAAGTCTTATTTCACCCATGGAGCTATTTTGTCTAGGAAGTGTTTGTATATATGGTGGTCACATTCATCATAGGCTGACTTCAGGAGAAAACTCGATGTTCTGCCAAGGTCTGTGAGTCCTTAGCTCCACGGGACCTCTCTGATGGACGAGCCCTGTTCTGGCTCCCCACCACGCCCTCATCATAATGCATGGGTAATACCGTTCCCATCTCCCCCCAGATGTCCTCAATGTCACCCACAGTTCCTATCACTGTGTTTCAAGACACATGGGTGAAAGTCAGCTGGTCTCAGTGACCATCAGTTTCCTCCAGTCTATTAGGCCCCCGATCCCTGTGTGCTCCCTCGTTTTTAGCTCGCCTCCTCCACAGTGAAGACCATTTGTAGACGGGAACCCCAGCCTCCTCCTTCTAAAGGCCAACACATATACTGGCGGAGGAGTTTCAGATATGAACACTGTGCGGATACAGTAGCTACGGCATATTGAGAAAAAATACCGGACTTGGGACCCGGGTGGGGAGTGTGTGTGCGCGGGGCAGAGGCCCGAGATGAAGGAAGAGAGTGAGCGCTCTGTGGACGGGGAGGACTCCGTGTACCCGCCTTCCCTCCCGGCACGTGGTCCCTCCACGTGGCCAAGGGTCTCAAGTTCTGCATTTGTGCCCCAGCTCTGTTGCTTTTCCATTGTATGGCCTTGGATAGCTCAGAGCTTTCCTCGTTGAAAAAGTCAGGATAACGCATCCCTCAGAGTTTTTGTGTGGAACAAAGGGAAAAGAGTATTCAAGCATTTTTTATATAGCAAAGCAGTGTGGATCAGTCAAATATTATCACAGGGGAACACGGATTGTGTTTTAAACTCAACTCTGGTGAAATTGGCCAATAGGCCCAGTTCACTGTGGCCTAGAAGAATGTTAAAAAGCTTTGTCAAAAGCAGAACTTGGGTTCTACTTTTAATTGGAGGAGTGCACTGAGCTCACTGGGAGTGGAGGGAACATTCAGGGAAGAGGCAGAGGCGCTGGGTGGTGGCGGGCAGGGGACTCTGGCCCCAGCGGCACCGCTGGCGCTCAGCCGCAGGACAGGAGGTGAAGGGCCCAGGTTTGAAGTGATGGCAACGAGGACAGGAAAACGACACATCTGCATGTCAAGAGGCTTTGCTTAGGAAAGACTGGCAGGACTTGGTGATGGTTTACTAGTGGCCAAGACAGGAGGAGGCTAAGATGCTTCTGAGTCTGTGCCCAGAGTGACGGTGGGACACGGAGTGTCACTGGCAGGCATGGGCCAGCGAGGCAGGGGACCGGGGGGATGGCACCAAGTGTGGACGTAGACAAGCTGACCTCAGAGAACAGGGCACCCGCTGGAAGGTGGGGTGGCATTGCCACCTCACACTGCAAAGTGTCAGTCACCCTGCAACACTTCAGTTACACCAGGGACAGGGACAGACCTATCACCAGCACTGTAAGAAGCTCAAATACTCAGGAAGACCTACTTACTCTTCTTACACTCCTCTGAGGGGCGCACATGGACGCTGGCCCCCCTCGAGAACCATTCACCACTTCCCAGTTCAGAAGGCTTTCCAGCCTGCATCTTGCTAGAAGCCAGTTCTTCTGCCTCATTTCAGTGACTCAGCGGAAAGCAGGCTTTCTGTAAGAATAAAGCTGGGATGCAGGATGCCGCTGGGTCTCCCACGAACTTGCATCAGGTGCATCACTCACTGAGAAAGCAGCAGTCCGGGCAAGGCTGGGGCTCATCCAGGCTCCTTTCTCCAGTTTCCCTGTTCTATTTGAAGGGCTTTCAAACAGGACCAAGTGTATAAATAACCGGCAGTTCCACTGTGTGACACGTGAGAGCTACGGAACACCGTATGTTCATTCCGCTTTGTGCTGGCCTGGCAAGTGCGTTGCCACAGGCTGCGGGTTTACGTGAGCCTTGGTCCTCAACCTCAAGTTCCTGAAGCATTTCCTTATCTGAGGCCGGAGGCATGGGCCACGTCTAACCCTCTGCTCCAAAATTCTGACTGGCGCAGAGGTGGGGGTACTCTGGGGTTTATGTAAGTGTGGAATCAGATTCTACCTCTGATTACCAGGGGTCACTGTGGTTCATTAACTACACATACGTAAGTTCTTTGTGGACGGCAGGAGGCGGATGTGAAAAAACAAAATCTACTTTTTCTAATTAATTCAACAAAGACTTACTGAACGCCTATGTGAGCCAGGCACTGAGCCAGATGCTTTGGACGAGAAGGATTGCCGAGCCCCCAAACAGACTAGGGGAGAGGGGCATGGAAACAATCCTACAGCAGTACTTCAGTAGCCTGGAACAGTAAGCCAAGGAATCCAACTCTCGGTGAAAAATCAGCACACTATCTCAAAGTAGGGTATCGTTGCCTCAGGGATACCTTTTTATTAATCCTCATCCAAGGACATTTTTTGATTGCTTAGAGAGGAAGAGAAACATCGATATGAGAGAGAAGCATTGATAAGTTGCCTCCTGCAACGGCCTGGACTGGGGACCGGACCCAGAACCTTTCCATTACAGGACGATACTCCAACCCACCGAGCCACATGGGCCAGGGTCTCAGGGATACCTTTTGACTCCAACCGGGAACTAGGGGCCCCAGCCAGATGTCCCTGCTGTATCCCGTACCTACAATTCATGCTTTTGGTAACCACCTACTTAATGCCAGTCTTCCGTGCTAAACTAAGTTGAAAGGGCAGGGCCCACGTACCCCCTGTGCTGCTCCATTCCCAAGCTGAACAGGAGTTCACACGGCGAGGATTTGCTGAGTTGACTAATGCATCAGGTGCCGTGCCCTTCACCTTCACCCTTGCACTTCATCTTCCCAGCAACGCCAGGCCACGGATACTGTCGCCCTCTCGCAGGTGAGGAAACCATGGCAGCTCGGCCAGCAGGGGGCAGAGCTAGGTCCCATTCAATAACAAAAAAAGCAGGAGCACCTGCACTTCAGCTACTTTTACAAACTTCCTTGACCTAACGCCAGGCTACTCGCCCACCCTCCTTCCAGCAAGCAGCCCGCTGACGTTGTCCTGACCCCGTGACGGGTGCTGCCGTTGACACCCCACTCCTGCTTTTCTCTCTGTCCTCTGTCTAGATCAACTTCTCACAAACTGGTATCTATTTTCACAAAATCAATATACTCATTAAAAAGGCAGTGTTCTGAAACTTGTTCCCAAATTAGTTCTTCTACAGGAGGCTTATCCTTTCTGCAATAACTGTTAGGGCTGCCTACAAGCATCTCCTCTTATGTCTATTGGAAGCTGGCCAAAGTTCCTAAGGAACAGCTTATAAATCACTGACTCACGTAACAGTCTATAACATAAACAGGGTCATGGACATGACTCAGAGCAACCTCTCAGTTCACAGCTGGGAAGAGACTGAGAAAACCTGGTGTGGTCCAGGTTAAACAATCACTGGCGAGCCAAAACCGTGCTGTTGCCTCTTTCTAATTTCATTTATGATATAGACAAAATGAATGCAGCTTCCCCAGCATGAACTGCACAAAGCCCAAGATTCCAGGTCTCTAACACCTGTCGGCATCCACCCACCCCTTGCGTACACAGGCTCCCGTCCCAAACCCACAACCTTCTCTGGCGATGGGACCATGAATTAGTGAACTGCTCACCCCTCGGTCTCCTCCTCTGTGACCTGAGATCATAGCCCCTAACGCTTAGGGCTGTGAGGAAACCCAGACGACACTACCCTGGGAAGTGCGGACAGCAGCGGGCAGCGCACAGTAAATGCTCAGGGAACGTCGGCCGCCGTTCCTGTCCGGGACATGCTCTCTAACCGAGGCTCCTCCCAAAGGGCCAACTCGTTCTTTCTCTTTTCTGGGAACTTGATTTTTATGTCACTCTGAGGAAGGATTTCTTTCTTCAAACTGAAATAAATACAAGACATCTGATGTGTTCATTTCCTTTAATAGCAATTTACCATGTTATAACCATGGAATGTCAAGTCAGCTTAGAAAGGAGATCTTCCCAGGTGCAACCAAGCCTTCCACAGTGCACAGCAGTTTGTGTGTGATGTCTGACCACTTCCATCACAGGTAAGTTGTTTAGTTTCACATTTATGATGCTTCCAGTGAAAAATAAACATACTGCACACATTTAAAAATTGTTTTTTATTATCTTCGTATTAGCACTTAAAATACCTACTTCTACTTCAAGGTGGCATTTAAAAATTATTGTCATGTAACAGCAGCGAAAATATAATCCTGCGATTACAAAGTAGCTACATTAGATCCAGAATTATCTTACGTTCACAAGTGTAACTAAAATAAATATTACCCTCTAGCAGCTGTTATCAGCATTTTAGGTTTGGTTTACACACACACACAAACACACACACACACAGACATTCAGTCGTGGGGAGGTTAGTAACGTTATGTGCTATGCGCCGCTCCGAACGGGAGAAGAGCCAGCCCGCCCTACGAACAGACAGAAGTACTTTCCCAGCCCACAAGGCAGGCAGAAAGGAAAACTGGGGCAAGGACGGTTCCCACGTAACATCGAAAGCGGGTGACATTCGCAGCAACTGGGAGTACCTCAGGGTTGGCAGGATGTTCTGCGTTAGAACTAATTTCACGAAAAGAGATGAACAAGGTGGACACTTGACTACTACTGGGTGCGTTCGAAAGTGGCACGTTTCTCACGTGCTGATCTGACTCCTCTGAACGACCCAGTTCGGGAACTAGTCACTAATGATCTAGGCACCCGGCAAACCAGCCCTGCGAGAAAGGAAGCCAGTATTCAAATTACCATGTTACTACTGTCTGACCCAGTCAAACCATTTATTTCCAACATAAATACAGAACCTCAATGTGAGATCTCTAACCACGGCGACCACCACCACCACCACCACCGAGACCGCAGCTCTCCTTCTAGGGTTTCGGTTTCGCCCAGAATTCCTTGTACAGGGAATAGGCCATACCTAAAGAGAAAGAATGCTGGTTAGGCATTTACATATTTTTTTCAATGTTAAGAAAATTAAAAACAGTTCATAAAATAGCTAAAAGAAGCACCTTTGCTAGCATGCAATCTTTACAAGGGGAACCAGACCGGGGGCTGCTGACACTCTTGCTTTCGTAAACAATTTCTGTTTCTACAACTATTTTTACAGTTTCCCAAGTAGCTTAAGGCCAGTATGACCAGCTCAGACTGTTCAATATTTTTTACCTGGCAACTTTAAAAGCTGTTGCTCTTCCTACCTAATACCAGATAGAGTCAATGAATCATATAAAGCCAATAAAAGCATGTAATACCTACATTTAAAAGATCTTTTCCACCTCCAACTCAATAAAACAGCAATCATGTGTGTCTCTCCCATGTAACGGACCTTCCTCACTGGCATGTCTAGCCCCTCCAGTGAAATTATAAACTCAGTCATGGGCAGGATTATCTTTTCTTTCTTTCTTTCAAACCTTAGTAAGATATACCAGGTGGGACAAAAGAAGGGTTACAGTTGTTCTTATAGAAAATAATTCAATAATAAATGATAATACAAGAATAAACTATGTTTTGTGAACTCACAACTGTAAATCCTACTTTTGTCCCACCCTGTATCACAGACAGTAAAATGATGTCACTACTTGAACTACTGTTTACCAATTCACATCTCCATGAACATAAACATGATATTTGGGTATTGCCTCAAAATTAGCTTTAACAAAACAAAAAAACGGAAAAGAAAAAAAATTAGCTTCAAGCATCTACATTGTTCTAGTAACAAGACCGTCAGCAGGGAGCACAAGTTTGAAACTTCCCGCAGGAACCCACCGAGAGTCATGGCCCCCACGACGAAGCCTTGGGCTGCCACGCGCATGTGGATCAGGTGGACGGACATTTTCGTGTCCCCCCTGCTCTTCAGTTTATACAATCCGTAGGCGACAATCGCTGCAAACCCCGCCATTCCTGAGAAAGAGCCACAGTTACGTCAGACACAGTGCGGCAGTGTTGGGAACCGCCCTGCCGGGTTTCGGGAGCTGTAACCCCCCATGGCTAAGGCTGAGTGAGTGAGCTTTGGCCCATAAGCCACTGAGGAGACAAAGCTTATCTCCCGAGCAGGAGGGCCACCTCTGTTCCTTTTACTTCATCCATAACTGGCCCCCAATGCCTGGTTGGTTAGCCAATGACGGGCAAGATTCCCCAAAGGGGAATGGCCTAAGACAGACATGATCATGGGGAGACCCAGGGAAGGACTTGGGGAGCCATAGCAAAAGGGGGTGATGGACCCTGGCCCCGTGGCTTTGACATAGCCTGAGTCCTCATTCTGTCTTCAAGAAGTCTCCTAATCCCTTGGCTGCCTTACTTCCCCTGCCTGACTTAAGCCTGAAACAAGGACAGAGGGTGGTACACCCCTATGCTGGAAAGGGCGGGTTCCCAGGCAATCAGGCCTAAGAAAGGATGTATAAAATCCTGTGAAATCTGCTTTGTTTAGAATGCTCTCAATTAAATGATAAGGGTCCAAGCCGGAAGTGAGTTTGTTCCTCACAGTTGTGTAGCTCTTTAGCTATCTGACCCTGACTCAGAATAGGCCCTCAGAGTTCTTTGTATGTTATCTATTGCTTGATCCTTACTGCCTGACAATGATTAATGAGCTTTACCTGTATTCCTGTGCAAAATGAATCCAATAAAAGCCCATGGAGGAAAAAGGTTCCTGGCCCTTCTCCTTTGAGAGATCAGCCACCTTTCCTCCCCAGGCAGATCATGTCTTGGCAGACTGATTCTCATCCATGGTGGCCCGTGTTGGGGGGGGGGGGCCCCACAGGGGAGGGAACCAAGATGATCTTACCGTCAATCAATGTACTTGCTACTGTTTTTATAAACATGCTTTAAGAAACCATTAATTAGCTAACACACACACCATGTTTTTAATCTCCTCCCCCCAGGACCAAAAATCTGAAGATGGTAGCAAAAACTAGCAGATTCAGGAAGCTATAATTTTCAAAATGTGGGTCTGTGAAGCCGGCAGATAAACTGCTTCAGGAGCCAGGGAACTCCTCCTTCCTGTGCCGCTTCCCCTCTGACGGGAATCAATGAATACAATAGAGACTGTAATAAACCGTAACTGTGGGTGGAACAGCTTTTAAAAAAGTCTGTTGAGCCCTTCTAGCGTATCGCTGAGACTAGTAAGGGCGGTCTTGGGATCCCCCAACACTTCACTGAGATAAGAGTTAATAAAATAAGAAGTCTAACTACACAGAGAATTTTTATGAGCTATATCATGTCAATCTCAGCACATCTGAATCACATATAAAAAATCTGAAAATAATGCTTATGGATGAGCTTGATGAATGAGTCGATCACACTTCGATCATTACAGTATACAAACTGATTATTAGAATTCTAGGTCAAACTTACCAACAGGGACAAATGGCGCCTCTTTAGCTTTTCGGATAAATTTAGATCCCTGACCTTCATCGTATGAAGAAAGAGAAACATCTGTGTTGGATGACATACTGATTGGAGAATCTTCCTGAAAGAGAATTTCCACAAGGTTCTGCAATTAAAAACAACTAGGACATTAAATGGCTGGATATATTTAAAATAATCCTAGTTTCCATAAAAACCTGGGATATGCTATTCACGAACTGTAAAAACTATCTTTAGAGATCAACTGTATTTTTGCCCCACAGCCACTCGTAGGGAGGGCCACACGCACTTACCCCCGTTGTCCTCATGCTCCTCCACACCACCGGTTCCTTTTTAGCTCAACTTTGCTAGTAACAGTGCATTTTAAATTTTTGTCAATTAAAATAGTAGCTATTAATTTCCTTTTTAAAAAGATTTTATTTATTTATTTTTAGAGAGGGGAGGGAGACAGAGAGAGAAACATCAGTGTGTGGTTGCTGGGGGTCATGGCCTGCAACCCGGGCATGTGCCCTGGCTGGGAATTGAACCTGCAACACTTTGGTTCGCAGCCTGCACTCAATCCACTGAGCTACGCCAGCCAGGGCTCTAATTTCCTATCTTCATCTTTTATTTTTTCCTCATACTTGATCATGCTCCTTCTTGCCTCTTCCACGTCATGCTGAAAATCCTAGTAAGTGGATTCCTACACTTTTAAGTGTGGTTGAGGAGTGTAGTCTTTATTGCTTTAAACTTACAACTGACTCACTCACCCCAACACGCTGCCTGGATCCAGTTCTCACCTCTGCAGAGTGAGGCTCCCCTCGGGGCTGCAAATGTGTCACTTTAAACCTAACTCACGTTCAACTGCACTGATACACAGCCTTTCAGTTTTTTATGACTGAGGGTCATCACTTTTAACATCGCTGCAGCAGAAAAGTCAAACTACTCTCAGGGTCCTCTTAAATAAAAGAACATCTCCTAAGCTTCAGTTCGGTCTTCCTTTACATACTTTATATTTCCTGGGTTTCCCTCTTAAAATTCTGTACTTTCTATTAGAGTATTATTCTTTTAAGTGGTATCAAAAAAAGCAAGACACTAGCCTGGTCATTATATGGATAAGGGGGCATTAAAAAAAAAAGATTCATCTCAGCTCTTACCAGGACCAAGGGCGCCCCGCGCCCACTTCCGTCACCCCCCTTTACAACGGAAGCTATCGGGCATTTCATCACAACGAGGTGACGACAAACCCGGTTTCACCTTCGCCACAGTAACTAGACACTTCCTTCTCCACGGAGCACATCGGAACTGCCTATGAACTTCGCCCACAGATAAAGTACGGGAGTCAAACACAGCACGTCAGTCAGTGCCCAAGTCTCTGGTTGGCATCAACTGCAGTGGAGCCAGAGTCAGCCGCCCACCCCACCACCCATGTGAAATCCCACCTTCGCCTCTGGGCTTTTCACTTCTGTAACAATAGCTCTCATTAACACTTGGCAATTCAAGCGTTGTTAGCGGTGGGCTAAGGCCCTCAAAGAAAACCCAACTCTAGAGGAGAGGTTTACTGCTTAAGTTTGAAAAGTCATCATCCCTCAAGCCCCCATCTCCACTGGCAAGAGTTGATGATTCTGTCCTGACCGAGAAGACAGGCTTAAAACCCAGAGGAGTTCAACAGCACCACAGAGCTCTCTACACAAGGAAACTCAGATTAGAACGAGACTTTCTTTTTGTACTCCATTACCTGCTAACTGAACAAACCCCTACTTACTAAGCTTTTATTACAGGGCAGGGCCAAAGGAGGTTTACAGTTGTCCATGAGGAAAATAATACTATAACCAATAAACAATAACACAAGAATCTGCTCTGTACTCACGTACTCACAACTGTAACCTCCTTTTGCCCAGCCTGTACATACAAGGTCCAATGAGCTCAAAGTTCAGGACACTCACTGCGCTATCTAAAGAGGTAATGCAAAAACACAGAAATAATCAGTGGTTCAAAATTAGTTGTTTTTTTTAAAAAGAGGCATGAGTGTGATTAGTTAGTTGCCAACAGCATAACAGAGACAATGAGAACTAAATTAAGTGTGATATCTTTGAGCTCAAGTACGTTTGGGAAGTTTCACAGAGAAGTATTTGAGCATGGCCTTCAAGAAACTACATAAATGGACTAGACAGAAATTAAACACATTTATTTTAGGCTAGTATATGCTCATCAGTTGCCTTCATAACTAACCATCAACTTCTCAATGGGCATAACTTTTATCATAGACTCTCCTTCCAGCTCCCTTGCAAAATCCCTGTTTTGATCGCGTTAAACATCTCACAGACGGTCTCTACGCCTCCTCCGGGTCTCTGCGCAAGCTGATTCCTCTCACGCTTTTCCCTCCCATCTCTTGTGTACACTCTCTTTCTGGGCCACCTCCTCCCGCTTCTCGGGTTATGCAAACTGACCTCTAGAAAGTCTTTGATATCCCATGCTTGTGAAAAATGTCTTGGTTTTGCGGTCCCTAGGATGCTGTTTTCTCCACCAAAAGGCTTGAAACTGTCTGTTGCTCTGGCTAGAAGGACCCTTGAGGTCGGGAGGCTGCACCCGCCCCGCCCCATCCATCTCCCCTGCCGGCACAATGCTCTGCATATAGTTAAGTACACCACAAAGTGTTGAATGCATTTAAAAGCAGTATTTTTCAACAATTAAAATTATTCTAAGGTAACTTATTCAGGAATATTTAGTGAAAAAATAACAATTATATACATTTGTAGAGTTTAACCAGTAAGAAAAATGCCAAGCTATCTATGCCTAAGTGCTCAGTTGTTTTTTATTTCTTATATTCATTCTATCTATGAAAGAAAAAATGAGAACCAGAGTAGGTCTTGGTTTCTTGCAACCACGAGACAAAACTATTATACTCACGATCCACTTTTAAAATCTAGCACCTTCTTTTGCAGATATGAAAGCATTTTCTTCCTTTGCCATAATTATTCCTAAACTAAGAAACCACTTGGGAATTGTCTTTAAAAGCAAGAAAGAAGGTAGTTTTTCCCCTACACTCTCACATCTGGATCACTGTAATTGTCTATGAGGCAACTGAGCAAAATCTCCCCGCCCCTGCACCAGGAAGGCAGGCGCTGGCTGTCTCTGTCCTACATATGAAAAGAGTAGAAGAAATTCCACTGATTTCATTCCTCGCAGTCTGTGACATCTGTATGGGTAGGACATTTGATTCAGCTTTCAGAAAGCAGTCCCTGGGGTAAGAATCAAGATGTGGGGGGGACCATGTGGTCATCATTTCCTTTAAGGGACCGATGATAATCTGTCTCTGATCCAGAACACTTCATGTGAACATTTCAGTGTAATATCAATAAAGAGGAGTGTTAAAAACCCAACATTGAAATCATATGACATTTTACACGTTATAAAGTCTAACCCTGTTATATTTATAACACAGCCTGAATATAAGATTTTGATCATTCTTTCTAATCACAACCTAGAAACTTCCCAAGTATCATGATTTACAGCATCCTAAATGGAAAATGGTTAGCTTTTAAAGTACCAGGATCAGTAACTATAAGTCATATAATTTGAGAACAACTCAGGGTTAATTCTTGCTAACAGCTTTATTTTACGGAAGAGAGAGGATTAGAAGGGGTGATGCGAACTGCTCACAGCAGGGGGAATACATTTCTGGCGGGGCGGGACTAGAACTGAGCTCCCCTGACACACAGCACAGGGTGCTTTTGATTGACAACCTATTGCCAAGCCATTGATACTATAACGCCCATACATTTTTGATCTGAAAAATATGAAAATCCCTTCCTTTACAGAAGCCGCATCTCCATCTTTGAATTGTAAAAGATAGGTTAAGTCATGCCTAAGAGTCAATGGAACCTCCTTCTCCAGGGACTTACCTAACAATTTCAACTGTGATTTGAAGAGTTTTTTTTCCCACTAGCACCACTTACAGATTTCCCTTTGATCATTTTCTCACCCACACACAGCAATGAACCCAGATTCCTGTTAGAAAGTTGAACAGGCACATAAAGAGGCACCAGGTAACCAGACATTCAAAGCCAGAATAAAAACCACAAACTATTCTGTCCACTGAGTAAGGTACGACTACTGACGACCTTTCCAAATGCACAGGAGCCTGGCAGAGGCTTAAGGGAAGAGGAGCTGCCCAGCATCAGGTGATGCAACGGACAGAAGGATCTTCATTGCGTCACTTCGCTCTCAGGAACTACGATCCAACCACAGCGATCTCAAATTTTGCTTTTTGCATCCGTCACCGCTTGTTTAAAAATGGCTGCCAAGGCTCCACCCCTAAGGTTCGGACTCAGCCTGTGTGCGGCAGGGACACCCTGGAGCGTGTATTAGCAGAAGCACCCCCCACTTCCCGAGTGATTCTGGTGTGTACTGAAGGTGGGAGAGGCCCTGGTACATACGACTCAAACATGTTTGTCCCGCTGGGGCCTGGTACTTCAATCCGTCACACCTTTTCACCCAGACCGGTCCTGCTAGAAAGTGCCTTTGGTAGGGATTCCCCTGAAGAGCTGCTTCCCAAACCCGTAATAAAAAGAGGGGGTGAGTAACACTGCTGAATCATTTCGGCTGCTGCCACTACTAAGCCCAGGCAGTGTTTTATAATCGCTAGCCAGAAAAGACTTAAATTCCATCACAGATGCTTTAGACTGGGCCCGGAGCCTTCTCAATTTCCCACGGCAGGAGGGTCGCCGAGGGTGGGCGGAAACGGAGAGAGGAGGAAGCGAGGGCTGGAAGGTCCTGTGGATTTAACCCTCCTCCTAACCCTTCCACCTTCTTCCCCTCTCCTTCCTGTGACCTTGCCAGGACTTCAAGGACGGAGCGCTCGCCCTCCCACTCGCTCGATTCTGCTCCCAAGGCTCGGGGCTCCGGGGGCTCCCACTTCGGGTCACTCATTACTGTCCCACCCGTGAGTCTGTTTTTCCAGCCACGATTCACTGCACAAGCGTTTGCCTCATCTCCGCGCTGGCTCCATATCCCCTCACCCAACAGGGAGTCAGGTCCTGTCTTTGTACCCCCAACCTACGGGAATCACGAAGTCTGGCCTGAGCCCCGTCACTATACGTCGCCCCCTTCACTCCAGGCCTCGCTCCATTTCCAGCCTCGCGGCCCCCAGCCTTCCCAAGGTGCTCTCGGCCAAGCACAGCGTGACCCCACTTACTCCCGCCCCACATTCGGACGTCCCGCGTCCCCAAATGCCCCTTCCCAGTTCACTTACCAAGAACAGGACCTCTCAAATACCAAACTGCTTCCGACCCCGCGCGCGCGCCGTCGGATGTGCCTCTCCCCATCCCACCCCCAGCCTGCTCCAGCCAATCAGAAGGCTGATCTCCTTGGTGGGTGGATGCCTACGTGTGCGCGATGGGTGGGGCTTGCGGGAGCGGGTCGCGGATTGGATGGGGAGATGTGCCGGGACTCGGAGTTCCGGACTCTCGCGTGGCGATAGCGTCGGAGGGGAGCGCTTTGAGTGTGGGGTTTGTGGGAGGGCGCCCGAGAGGCTCTGGCTCCTGGCCCGGCGGGACCTCAGGTTTCTCTCGACCTTTCTCCCTCGGGCAGGGTGGCAAGCAGTGGGAACGCTTTCTGCCGAGCGCGGGCAGGACGGGCCTGGGGATGCAGCATTTCCACTGCCGCCAGTCCTTAGGAGGCTGCGGGTGAAGTTGCTGCACTGTCTTGCCCTCGGGCGCGGAAGGCGGTGGGAGCGGTCGACCTTTTCCGCTCTCCTGGCGAATATCCGTCACGAACGCGCGCTGTCGGGCCGCTGGTGGAGCCCTTCATGGAGCTGACACTTCAGTGGGGGGAAGCCACGAATCGCCAGCACCGGGTAGCTGGAGCTGTCACCTCACCCAGAGCGAAGGAGGTATCGCTGAGGAAAGAAATGTCAGAGGCCCCTTGTGACAGTGACCTTCCGGGGACAGAGGCCCTAATTTGTGCGTAGAGCAGATACTCAATAGCTATGGAGCGAATTGATGCAAAGTATCAATGCCTGTACGTTGGGGACGATACCGGTCTCTCATGATAACCGCAAAAACAGGCAGATTGCCACGGGCGCTGTCATACAGTTGGGAACTAAGTGCCGTGGACCAGGATTTTGATCGTCTCATAATGGAGTTGAGACACATGTAGGAAACATTCATGCTGTGTTTGATACAAGTATGAAAAAAACCCATACTTGATTATGTAGTATGCGTTGTGCTCTTTGAAGGTGCATATTTTGTCTGGTTCATGTCAGTGTCTCGAAGACTGTTTCTGAGTTTGGTAGGAGTCTAGTAATGTTAAATGCAGTTAACTGTAAGGCTAGTAGCAGCAGTGACCACAGCATATTCATTCCTGAAGGGGATTTATACAAATCAAAATAATGTTAGCTAAATTGCTTATGGATCACCGTGCATGAACTAATCCCATTGTAGTTCTGGCGGGGAGGGCCACGAGTAGGGGCAGGGCAAACATTTGTGACTAAAGCAGAGTCAGAGAGTAACGGAAAGTGAATTTAAGCTACACTGGGGAGGACTTTTAAATACTGATTAAAGAACTTGGACAGCATTCTATCAGGTGGCCCTTGAAGGTTTTGGAGTAGGTTGTCGACAAGGGCAGAATGCATTTGAGGTCCTTGGTAGTGAAGTAGGACGGATTAGAAAAGAGATACCAGTATCCCTCAGCCAGAGAATTAAAACCTGTTCAGGATGTAGCCCGTTATGTGCTTTGTATTGAGGCCATGTCCTGGGCCTTAGAGGTACAAAGGCTGCCACACGCAGTAGTGCCGCCCCACCACCACCCTGAGAAGAACCGCTGTTTTGGGGAAGCAGTAGTCCTTACCATCCAGTCCCCCCAGGAGAAACTAGGGTCGGGACCATCCTTAAGTTCCAAGTGGGAAGACTGCCCTGAAGGGCTACTCGTTATGTTACAACTCTGTGCTTTTTACACTTTGCAGAATCATGGAATAGTACTGAAGCTGTTTATGAACTTCCCAGGCATATTCACAGCATGTTCTAAAGTGTTTTAAAAAAAATTTATGTGGCCCTGGCTGGTGTGGCTCAGTGGATTGAGCGCCAGACTGCAAAGCAGAGGTTCGCTGGTTCGATTCCCAGTCAGGGCACATGCCTGGGTTGCAGACCAGGTTCCCCAGTGCAGAGAGCATGAGAAGCAACCACACATTGATGTTTCTCTCCTTCTCTTTCTCCCTCCATTTCCCTCTGTCTATAAATAAATAAATAAATAAATAAATAATCTTAAAAAATTTTATGTGAAAGGTAGGAGCTTTTAAGCAAACAAAAGATTCTTGGCAAAGAGTAATCAGGCCCCTCTCTGGACTACTTATTCAAGTGTTTTATAGGAAATGCTATTCCCCCTCCCCCCACCCAGAAGGAACAGGTGATAATTATATGTGACCACCATATTCTGCTCAGGTTTAAGACAGTTTTTCTTTTTTTCACAATTTATATATTTTAGAACGTTACCTCTGAAGGCACCTGGTCCATCACTCCACCCTTTAGGGAGAATAGCTCTAAAACGCAATTTCAGAACTCTCTAGAGGGCGAAAAGTCACAACCACCTTTTAAATTTTAGAGTCAGGATGATAATGTTTAAGAACACAGACTCTGAAGTTTGCTTTGCTGCTTACTAGCTGCGTGATGCTCAGCACATTACTTAGTCATTCTACCCACCATTCCTTCCTTGGCGCGATAATAGGACCTTCAGGGGGCTAAGTGATGTGTAAAACCCCAACATTGCTGGGTGCATGGTAAGTGCTATATATGTATTCATGATTGGATTTCTGTTTTTTTGGTGACTTCCTGCAGTTCTTAGCTCACCTGCAAACACAACAGATGGTTGCACACGTGTGTGTGCTTTGCACTTTAAAAAGTGCTTTGGTGACAGAGGATTTCCATAAAAACCATGACTATAGCTTACATCCAGGACCTGAGCAGATAAGAAGCAAGGGGCTGTCAGGCACCTTCCGTTTTCTTAGTTTACACCGTCTGCCACTTTTGCGTCATTCATTGCAGTCAGCCACGTAAGAGGTTCCTTCCACTGGTAACCAGTGTGGCAGGAGGATTTGTGTGTTTATGCAGTGACATTTTCTTTAACGAACAAAAATATACTTTACGTGTTTTAGTCTCGACTTGACTTTTCCACTGATGCCTTCAGAACTATTTGTTATTTTTGTTCGGAGCAGCAGCATTCTCTTTAACCAGTGCCAAGGAGGAAAAAACAAAGTGGAGTGCAAAGGGCACTGGCCTGGCGCCCTGGGGTTGCTGCCATGCATGAGGTCAAAAACGTGGGTCTGAATGCTTATTAGCATTCTGATCTTGAACCAGTCATTTGGCCTCCAGGAACCTCAGCTTTTTAATCAGCAAAATAGGGCTATTAATAACCTTGTAGGGTTGCATTGTGTAACCTAAATAACCTTCTCTAAACCAGCAAGATCAAAGCGGCCATGGGAATACAAGGCACAGCATAGAGAATATACTCAATAATGTACTCATTGTGTATGATGTCAGGTGGGTACTAGACCTGTCGGGGGGTCACTTTGTAAGTTATATAAATGTCTTTCTTAACAACTATGTTTAAGAAAAAATGTACGTGTGATCTCTGCATCTTCCCCCGTTCACTCAGTGCATTGGTTTCTGTTCTTATCATGCTATGTAAACTACTATAGCTAAGGACACAGTTCAGTGGACATAACTCAGGTTCTCCACCCACGTCTTAGTAACTCCTCTGTCTTATATGACACCATAAATCTTCCCTTGACACCTTTCCTTTGGTTGTCCTACAGTCTGGTCATTCTTTCTTCCTCACTGTCACCAAATTCACTTCCTCTGTCCCTTAAGTATTGGTGTTTTCCAGGGTCTCTCCTTCTTACTGTCTTCCCTTCTCTTGGGATGATCTCATGCACTCTTATGGGTTTTTCAGCCTCGCCTGTCTACTGATACTCTCTTCGCACTCTCTTCGCTCTCTGCCATATTCCTTGCCTCAGCTCCGAAACCATCCGTGTTGGGGCAAAAAGTGGGTTTATAGTTGTGAGTTCATGAAGCACGGAGTTTATTCTTGTATTATTATTTATTAATTGTTGCATTTTCCATACCAACAACAGTAAACCTACTTTTGCCTCACCCTGTATATTCAGTTGCGTTGGACATCTCCACCTCAGTATTTTGGAGTCCATAATGTGTCATAAGGGAACTGCATTAATCACCCGCCCCCGGTTTTGGACTCCCTGCTCCCCATAAGCTTGCAATCTCTCCTACTTGGCTTGGCTGGTGGAACTGCTATCCATCCCTTTAACCAAACAGATCCGCTATGCTCTTCCTCCTTTGGTCCATATCCAATCAGTGACGTCTGAGCAGGGAACTGAACGGTGGGCCAGCCCTATGAAGATCTAGGGGCAGGTCTATGGCAGAGACAAGACCTCACTCTGTAGTGCTGTGCTCTGGCCATTCTGGCCCAGGCTTACCCGAACCCTGTGTGCAGTGAGGTTGAGAGGATCATTTCCACAGAAAAGCACTTAAAACAGGTCAAATAAGGAAACACACTTGTATCATTTTAGGCTCGGGACAAGACCGTTTTCACTGACAGTGTTTTCAAACAAAAAGCTGTGGAGTTGTTGCTGAAAAATGGATCTTGGATTCATTGCACCTCCTTAACCTTCCTTTTTTTTCTTCCTCAGTTATTTATGGGGATGGGAGCTGGGGAGATGAGCCCATGGGGGAGGGCACCGAACTCCCCAAACTTAGCTGAAGCCTTCCTGACTCTACCTTGTTGGGAAGGCATTTAGTTTGGGGTTAACAAGATGACTGTGTCTTCTTAAAAATTTGTATACTTTTTAAAAGATTTTATTTATTTATTTTTAGAGAGGGAAGGGAGGGAGAAAGAGAGAGAGAGAGAAACATCAATGTGCGGTTGCTGGGGGTCATGGCCTGCAACCCAGGCATGTACCCTGACTGAGAATCGAACCTGCAACACTTTGGTTCACAGCCTGCGCTCAATCCACTGAGCTACGCCAGCCAGGGCAAAAATTTGTATACTTTTATATCTCGTATATTTTATTATCAAATGTCTTTCAGTAGAGAATGAGTAGGCAGAATTTGGTCTTTTTAATATTCAGTTTTATGTGGGTTGATATCCTGACTTTGAATTAGAAACGTTTCAGGCTTACATAATCCATATCACGGAAATGATTGACTTATTTTTATACTCTGTACAGGTTTGGGACTAGATTACCTAGAAACAGAATTGATTACTGGAAGCGAAAGCTCTCTGTTTACCGCAGGCAAACAGCTCTTTTTATCAGAAAGGCTAAACATGATCTTCT